CCCAGACTGGAGTGCAGTGCCCATTCCGGCCACCGCAGCCTCGACCTGCTGGGCTCCAGCGATCCTTCCGCCTCAGCCTTCCAGGTAGCTGGAATTACAGGCATGTGCGACCACGCCCAGCTGATTTTTTGATTTATTATGGAGATGAGGTCTCGCTGCCCAGGCGGGTCTCGAACCCGCGGGCTCAGGCAATCCACTCACCTCAGCCTCCCAAAGGCGCGGGATTACAGGCTGAGCCACCGAGCCCGGCCTAGCCTCTTTTTTCAAGAACCATCTGCTTCCCTGTCACTTGAGGTAAAAATGGTCTCGTCTTCCTCTTCAAACCTACATGCCCACTGCACATACCATTCATCCAGGATGGTGTCTTGCCCTGAACCATAATTTTCTAGGCCTATTCCTGGTCTTTCCGAGCGCAAGAACCACCATGCCTCACACATTTTTTCCCATATCATCTACCAAACCTCTTCTATTTCAAGGCAATTAACGGCCCATAATGAATCTTTTTTTCTTTCTTCCATCTTTTTTAATTTTGCAAATTAATTTCTTAGCTTCCTGTGGCTCTAAATGTTGGAGGAAAGAATCTGAATTCCAGCTCTAGGCAGGTAACTTCAAGATTTGTGGAAATCGCCGGTGAAATCTCCAATGAGCTCTGTAGTTTCACAATGCCTCAGCAATCCTAGGCAGTCTTTTTTCTGAAATTATTTGGTTTTCCTGGGTTATGATTATTCTAACTCTGCTTACGTTGAAGGGGAACTCTCTGTCTCAGTGTGTCCCTGTCCCTAGTGCTATCAAACCGTGAGACTGTCCTACTACGGTGAAGCAAGACGTGCAGAGTTTCAGAAACACATAGTTAGAACAAAGAGCAGAAGTAGAACACTGGAACACAATGGAACATGGAGGGAAGTGGCCTGGCTCATTAGGGATTCAGAGGAAGCTGTCCAGTTCTCTGCACGCTTTCCCCAAACCCACAAGACAGATTTTCTGTGTAACCCGTAATTGGGCACTATGGTTCATTTGCAAAAAAAAAAAAAAAAAAGCAGGCCACATCTTTTTAGAGCACGAATGCAGGTGAGTGGGCCTTCATCTCAGGTTTCTCTCTGCAAAGTGACTGCTGAAAATCTCAGAGTCAAATTCGTGGCCCGCTGGCTTATTCTGTTGAGCATTTCTGTCTGACCCCAGCTCTACTTTGCATCTGATTCTTGTTTTCCTTTTATCTTTGGTCCTGGTATTTTTGTTGTTGTTGTTGTTGTTTGTTTTTTGAGTCAGAGTCTCACTCTGTTGCTCAGACTGGAGTGTAGCGGCATGCTCACAGCCACTAAAGCCTCGACCTACTGGGCTCAGGCGTTCTTTCTGCCTCAGTCTCCCGAGTAGCTGGGATTACAGATGCGTGCCACCACACCCAGCTAATTTTTTTGATTTATTGTAGAGATGAGGTCTCACTGCCCAGGCGGGTCTCGAACCCGCGGGCTCAGGCAATCCACTCACCTCAGCCTCCCAAAGGCGCGGGATTACAGGCTGAGCCACCGAGCCCGGCTGGTCCTGGTTTTAATCTATGGTAACCTGTCCCACTTTCTGTGTCTTTATAAGCCCTTTGCATTCTTCCTAAAACAAGCAAGGTATAAATAAATTCTTAAGTTGTTTTCTCCAGTATCTTCCTTCTCCTATAAACGTCTCCACATCATTTTACCAAAAGAAGAACAGGCCACTTAGAAAAACATTTATCATTTCAAAATTACAAATGCGTAAAAGTTTTATCAACAAAATTAGGCATGAATTTTGTAAACCTCAGAGCCTTCATCTAATTTAGGACAATTATTTTCATTTTTTCCTTAGAACCATCTACTTTCTAAATAATTCAAGCACAAGGGATACACCTTTTCGTATGTGTGAAATATTACACAAATATGCCATAGCCGGGCTCGGTGGCTCAGCCTGTAATCCCACGCCTTTGGGAGGCTGAGGTGAGTAGACTGCCTGAGCTCGCGGGTTTGAGACCTGCCTGGGCAGCGAGACCTCATCTCTACAATAGATCAAAAGATCAGCCGGGCGTGGTAGCGCATGCCTGTAATTCCGGCTACTTGGAAGGCTGAGGCGGAAGGATCACTGGAGCCCAGCAGGTAGAGGCTGCGGTGGCTGGGAGCAGCCACTGCACTCCAGTCTGGGTGACAGAGTGAGACTCCAACTCCAAAAAAAAAGATATGCCATGTGAACCTGTCAGACAACAGATTGCAAATTCTAACACTGGTTCAAGGAGGGAAGGGAATCATTAAATTAACAAGGAAGTGGTATCAGAAAGGGACCAGAAGATGATAGTCCAAAAAATCTCCAGTGGTGTTTCTTTTGCCTCGGCCATGTGGTGGCCCAATTCTCAAGTCACAATTCAATTTAGCAAAAACTATCCAAGAACTCTCCGAGTATACTGTGAACCAGAGGCAAAAGCCAGAGTTGCTGGCATTAGGAAAGATATGCTCTTGTCAGGAAATAAGACATGAACAAGAGTTTCCAAAGCAGGGAAGAAAATAATGCCACAGCAGTAAAGAGGGAGCCTTGAGGAGAGACAGGTCACTTCTAGAGTGGGGGCTGTGTGGAAGACGTGCCATTAGATTTGGGTCTTGGAAATAGGTTAAGATTTTATAAGAAAGAAATGTGGGAGAAGAAAATAGCAAAAGCAAAAAAGAAGTCTTTGCTATTAGGGTTACATCGTGGGTTGTACAGTGGGGAAAAATGGACGCTGGAAAACAAAACTGGATGCTGAGTCATCCTGCTTAACTCTTGAGGAAAAAATGAACTTGACTGGGGGCATTCATTCATGAAGGTTTTCGAGCAGGGAGCCAGGACGATTATTTTAGCAGCACAGAGAGAGACAAAGGGTAAGTGACACTGAAATAGGCAGACAAACAGATAGGCGTTCCTGGGGGGGAGGGGGGTGGCAGCCGCATGAATAACACAGAAGAAGAGACTCACAAGAGAAAAGATAGATTAAATCCATGTCTACTCAGAATCGGCGCTCGCCCGAGTATTTTTTGAACTGTAGTTTAATTTCCCAAGTCAGTTAAAAGAAGCACACATGGAAAGGTGGGGTATCGGTTCAGAATGTACTCCACCATAAGCAGGCTGTATGACCTTGGGAAAGTCACTTAATTTCTCTGTGCCTCAGTTTCCTCATCTGTCAAAAGTGAAAGTTGTAATTATTATTAATTTTTGAAGTTGGAGTTTCGCTCTGCCGCTCAGGCTGGAAAGCAGTGGCCCACTTGCGGCCACCACAGCCTCAATCTGCTGGGCTCAGGCAATCCTTCTGCCTCAGCCTCCCAAGTAGCTGGTAATACAGGTACAAGCCACCATGCCTGGCTAATTTTTTTTTTTTTTTTACTTTTTATTTATTGTAGAGACAATGTCTCATCAAGTTGTCCAGGCTGATCTCGAACCCCCGGACTCAGGTAACCCTCACCTCTTCCTTCCAAAGTGCTGGGACTGCAAATTTAACAAGTACAATGCAGTAGATTTTGGAGCCAGACCACCAGGGTTGAAGTCCCACCCTGCCATTTGCTAGCTGACAGCACTGTCTCCCATTACCCTTATCATCAGCATTGCTATCAGCATTGCCAAACCTCCACTGACTGGCCTCTAGTCTCCTGACTTTCCAAAGTTTTACAAAGCAAAACCAAAAAGAAAAGTTTGGAGATGAATTCAAGCAGAAGTACTTTTCCTTCCCTTATAAAAATGCTATTATAAAAATAGTCAAAACTCACTCCTCTGCCCTCTTTTGGTTGAGGCATGATTTGCAGCAGGTCTCAAGAATGGTTTTATAGCAAGGGGGAAGGACAGGGAGGATGGGAAGAAGGAAGGGGGGGGGGACATGTGGTAGCAGCGCTTTGGGAAAACCAACTTCCCTACAGCTCTGAAGAGCCAAATGTTCGGCCTTCAGCAAAAGCATGTGCTGTCTGTAGACCGAAGACGAAGAACTTTGCTAATTAGGACACATGGCAGTAAGCATAAGATGACTCAGGACCTGGCCAGAGAGAAGATGGAAGCCTGTCTTGGCAATGCCTGGCCCAGGTATGAGAGAAAGAGCCCGATGGAGAAAGAGAAGAGATGTGAAAGGACAAAGGAAAGTAGACATCGTATTCATAAAGATGTTACATGGATCCCTTTGGAAACATGTGATTTCCTTTTTATTATGGCATGAACAGTCTTTGGAAATGCTACCTGTTGTTTGCTTGACTGAACGTTCAAAAGGCACCAAAGTCGTTTAAGGTCTGAGGAGTCCCTAGGAAAAAGAATAGCACAAAGTCAACTCACAGAAGGTGGCAGGTGAACGAGATCATGTTACCCACTGATGGCATTTGCCCCTTGGAGGCCGGCTTTTATAGACTGAAATGTATACACGCTAAACATTTTCTTTAGAACTCTAGAAATGGCCAAACGTTTCAGTAAACACTGTAACCCTGAATAGTAATTGTCAAGAGTCTTTTCTTTTTCTCAAAAAGCCATTAATTATGTTCAGTAGCCATTGCCTGAATTAACAGTTAACCTGGGGTTACCTGGTGGTGATTCCTTGCTGTTTTTTATCAGTTGATTTTTCTGTGGTCTTCGCCTTTTTGTCTTGATCAGGCATTGTAAAACATCAGTGCCCCAGAATTAACATCGCATTCCTTTCAAAGTAAACCAGAGGGTAAACTTTAGTTGGGTTGTGTGCACGAAAATATTCTCAGTTAATACAGACAAAATTCACTTATAACCTCCACATAAACATGCGAAAACTAACATGTATGTCTAATACAATGATAAAAGTGTTACTATGAATACCATTTACTATTAATTATACAAAGGGCTTTGGATTCATTTAGGGCATAGTTTTTACAGCCACACAAGTCATCCTTGATTTCAAGTATCCTGACCCTTGCCCCGACAAGTATTGTTCTGCATGTCAGAACGGGTGCCCTCATTTTGAATTACCAAAATATATATCTATAAACAAATACCTAAAGCCCCACTGATGCTTTTATGCCATCTCACTTATTTTTCTCCACAAGTATCCTTAACCCTATGCTGCCAATTCAGAGAATTACTCCCTCTGAGTTGACTTCCAGAGAAAGTTCTATCCACTCAAAAATAAGCCCCATTCCTAAAGTTTGCGAGCTGCTACCTGAAACCCTATATGGGTCAACTCCAGCCATAAGCCCTTCTGGAAAACATGGGCCAGTCTTGTACAGTCCCCGAGCTCATCTAACCATCTGGCAGTGAGGCTGGTTCACCTGGTAGTATCATCATGGTCACCCCTTCTAGGATTCATTTTAATACTCTTTCCTACCACCATTCAAAAGATAAGCATGGGCCAAGCATGGTGGCTCACACCTGTAATCCCAGTACTTTGGGAGGCTAGGGCGGGAGCACAGCTTGAGGTCAGGAGTTCAAGACCAGCCTGGGCAATGTAAAGAGTCCTTGTCACTACCAAAAAAATTGAAAAAATTAGCTGGGTGTGGTGGCGTGTGCCTGTAGTCCCAGCTAGTTAGGAGGCTGAGGAGGGTGATCTCTTCGTCCCGGATGTCAAGGCTACGGATGAGCTATGATCGTGCACTGCACTCCTGTGTGGGTGACAGGGTGAGAGTCTGATTAAAAAATTTAAAAAGCACGATTTCACCAATGGATAGTGGACAGTGTATTTGTTTGCTTTCTGTTTTTTCCAGAAAAAAGGAAAGCTGAAGATACTCATACTTTCAATTACATAGCAAATACGAAAGTAAATATACTACTGATTTAATGTGGTCGGATGTGAAATTTTCCAGCTGTGCTTCAGTGCCACAGTTTGACTTCAGTATGTTGCTCAGGCATGAAAAAGCATGCATTGTTGCCTTATAATAGCATGCCTCAGTGTATTGTGAAATCTATGGTCAAACTCCAAGTGCTTCAGAGGTATTCAGAGGCAAAAGGAATGTACCAACAGGTGTTTCGCTGCAACCGAATCTAGTGAAATTTAATTTTGTGAAATGCACAGACAGTTTATCTAAATATTTGTAAATGATTTTCCCAACATAGTTGCCATATTTGTGACAAAGAGTTGAGCAAGAATTAAGAGTTGGGGACCAAGTCTCTCATCACAGGAACACAACAAGAAAAGGCACAATATTAATACCTTAGTATTGTATCTAGGGTATCACACCATGGATTCCTTCATTCAACAAATATTTATTAAATGTTTGCTATGCCTAATCTCAGACTGAAAGCCGCAAAAGGTAAAAGAAGCTATCACAGGTATGCATTTCTACCGCAAGAAAAAAAAACACTTATGAACTTTAAAACACACTGTGTGAGGTCTTCAGATAGAGATTTGATTTAGCACCTCTCTTACGCTAAAAGAAAGAAGGAAAAGAGGAGAGAGAGAAGGTAGAGGTAGGAAAGAATAGAGGATTTGTAAATTCGTGCTTAAAAGCAAAGAAAGCCAAGTATTTTTTTAATACATAAACAAGAATACACCCCCGAGGTTTTAAAATAAATAGAAATCCAGTCAAAATAAATTCAATTGCACTTTTCCCTCAAAGGCAAGGACAACTTTGCATAGACACACTGACCTGTTGTTGGCTTCAAACTCCTGCTCAGACAGTAACTAAGACTGTTTTAGAAGAAGAAAGTGAAAGGCACAGTGGTAAGCACCTGTGAATGAGTGGAACCACTCACAGGCATCTTCTGCTAGAAGGAGATCGCATTTAACACGATCACACCCTCTTAAACGCCCTGTCTTATTCTCTTGATAATTTCCATAATTTTATTGATCGGGTGTGTGAACAAGAAATAATCATCTAATAGTATCAGTTTGAGATTAGCATGTGCTCTGTGAGCTGGAAGAGTGAACACGGATAATTCTCTGGAAATGTTTCACTTAATTAACCAGTAAACAAATTCACCAATATCAGTAGAAACAGTCAATTGACTTTAGGACAAAAAACAAACAAACCAAAAAAAAAACACAAACGAAAATCCTTTCCATGTAATGGCTGCTAAAATAGAAACGATTCTGAAAGAAACTTTGAGATATTGGGAATACCTTAAAATAATAACCTAATGTCATTTTCAGTTAACAGAAATGATTACACTGTACAAATGTCTACAATCCAAAATGAGGGATAGGGAAGGAGGGGCAGACCGTATCCTAAGTCAAGTCGCCCAGAGGCAGGCGAGGTGTCAAAGAAGTGTCCCCAGTAGATGCCACACAAGGGTGATGCCAAGACAAAGGTTCTCCTGAGGGAGCGTCAGTCTGATTCTACAAAGGAGTTTGCAGTGGCGTGTGTGCCCCGGAGTTGTCTAAACAGAGAGAAGGCAGGTTGGCTCTCATATTATTGCAGCTTTCACTGATGCTCCATCAGGCATTCCCGTTGGAGGTCAAGAGACTCCAGCAGCTTGGGGGCAGTCCCCTAAAAGAGAGATAAAGGAGCCAGGTACTAATCCCAGCTACTTGGGATGCTAAAAGGCTGGTGGATCACTTGAGGCCAGCAGTTCAAGACCAAGATCTCCATCTCTTGAGAAAAAAAAAAGAGAGAGAGAGAGAGCGAGCAACAGAAACAGAGACAGAGAGTCAGGAACTGGCCTGTTAGAAGCACAAAAAAAATCCCACAAAACAAAGAAAAGGTAAAGCTGCTGGGTGTGGTGGCTCACACCTGTAATCCCAGCACTTTGGGAGGCTGAGGTGAGAGGACTGCCTGATCCCAGGAGTTCAAGACCAGCCTGGGCAATGTGGTGAGACCTCATCTCTACAATAAATCAAAAATATTAGCCGGGCATGGTGGCGCACGCCTGTAGTTCCAGCTACTTGGAAGGCCGAAGCAGAAGGATTGCCTGAGCCCAGCAGGTCAAGTCTGCAGTATCCATGAGCGTGCGACTCCACTCCACCCTGGGTGACAGAGGGAGACTCTGACTCAAAAAAAAAAAAAGGAAAAGTAAAGCCAGTACCAGGGCTACACAGTGATGAAGCCATGGGAGAGGCTCTGGCAGAGTGCCCCCACGTGTCCACTGTGGTCACCGACTCCACAAGGAAGAGCTGGGTTAATGAGGAAACAGGGCTCTCGGCTGTGGATGCAAACTAAGCAAGACTACCGAGGTAGCTCTCAACTGCCGAGTTAGACTTACTGCTCTCTATACTTGACCTCTCGATGCAAGCATGACCTCGTGGCCTATCAACTAGTGCAGTCCTTGGACTTCTCTTTCCTATCTACCCCCTCCTGCAAGGTCCCTTGGAGTCTCATGGTTTTACATACCATCTGTAATCATACATTTATTTTTAATGAATTCATTTTTATTTTTGTAGAGACAAGGTCTCACTAAGTTGCCCGGGCTGGTCTTGAACTCCTGGCCTCAATCCATCCTCTCACCTCGGCCTCCCAAAGTGCTGGGATTACAGGACTGAGCCATCACTCTGGATCCTGTAATCCCAAATTTGTGTGTACAGCCTTAACCCCACCCTGGTCTCCTCAATTTGCAAAGTCACCATCTGAATGTCTAAAAAGCATCCTGAATTGTACATACCCCAAGCAGAACCCTTTACCTTCACTCCCAGTAGCAAACACTCCCAGTGAGCCTCATCTCAGCAACTCACACCACCCTCCCTCTCTATAGAGACAGAAGTCTAGGAAGCAGTCTAGATTCCTCTCTTCCCTCTACTTCCCACATGAAGAAAAACTAGTTAGTGTTGCCGTCTCTCCACTTCTGTTACTATCACTCTATGCCCAGCTGCCATCTTCTCTTGCCTGGACGATTACCCCAGCCCCCTCAGTGACCTCTGGTCAATGGTCTCTCCGCTTCCACCCTTGCCTTTCTATCTTCACAGGAATCTGAGAGATCACATATAAATACAAATCAGGCCAGTTTGGTGGCTCAGCCTGTATCCCAGCACTTTGGGAGGCCGAGGTGAGAGGACTGCCTGAGCCCGTGGGTTTGAGACCAACCCAGCCAACTTGGCGAGACCTCGTCTCTACAATTAAGAAAAAAAATGAGCCAGGCGTGGTAGTGCATGCCTGTAGTTCCAGCTGCTTGGAAGGCTGAGGCAGAAGGATCGCTGGAGCCCAGCGGGTTGATGCTGGGGTGGCCGTGAGTGTGCCACTGCACTCCAGCCTGGGCAACAGAATGAGACTCCAATTCAAATAAATGAATGAATGAATGAATAAAAATCAGATGGGGGCACTCTGTGGCTCACAGCCTTCCTGTGGCCTGCTAATTGCACTTGGCTTCTAACCATGACCTTCATCACCCCGAGCTCACCTCCCGCCCTCTCCCTCCTGCTTTTTTCCACTTCAGCCAGGATGGCCTACTGAGGAGAAACATGAACCCACAAATGTGCCCATTGCTATGGTTTGAAGATCTGTCCCCTCCAAAACTCACACTGAAATGTGCCGTTGTAACAGTATGAAAAGGTGAAACTTTGAGAGGTGACTGGGCCACGAAACCCCTGTCATCATGGGTGGGTTTAGCACCTTTTAAACGAGGCTTTCAGAAGTGGGTTCTTTCCCTTTGCTCTTCCGCTGTGTGAAAAACACTGTGCCTCCCTTCCAGAAAACGCAGCGTTCAAGGCGCCATCTTGGAAGCAGAGAATGGGAACTTATTTGACACCACAGCTGCGGATGCCTTGATCTTGGACCTCCTGGCCTCCAGACTGTTACTCTTTAT